AACACAGAAAATACCTGTCTTTGCTGCCCCAGAACGCCTCGTTGGAGATTTCTCTTTTTCCATTGTGTTCTTCCGGGGCCTATTGACGTCACTAAGGCCCCGGCCCCACAAGGACGAAAACGGTCGTTTGCCGATATATATTGATAGAACGGCATACGCAACGCTCTGGGGGTCCAACGGCTCCGTGTGTGCGCCCGATACGATCATTTTCTGATAATGATGACGCAATAGCCCCGCCTCACCCCACCTCTGCTGCTCACCCCCGCATCAAAGTAAACCGTACACTGAATTCAGATTATTTATCTTTCTCTCGATATGGACATAAACGCGAGTGAGTCTAATCTGACGGGACGGAGACACGCAGCTCTGCTCACCTGCAGCTCCTCCCGCTGTGATGCAGCGGTGAACGGAGCAAAACACACACTTCAAGTCAGATCATCACCCTTAGTTATTTTTAATTACCTCTCAAACTACCTAAACTAGTTATAAATATGTTTATTTTTACTGTCGGGTTACTCATTACTGGATCAGCTGCTGCATGAGACAGACACTGACTATGTCAGAAGAGTGGGAGGAAAAAGAGAGGCTCCGTGTATTGTATTATTATATTATATAGAGTCATTATTCATTTGTTTTAAAGCTCAATAAATAGCAAAGAAGACCTTTGACTGGCACTTTTATAATTTTGTNTCCCTGATGAAATAAAATCTCTGCTAGTAATAACAACTATCATATGATTATGTTTGATAAATTTAATCTCACCATAAAAAGAAAGTATAACGGGGCTGTCGAACTATTGGCAAAGCTATTTTTCGTTACGCGTGACGTTAATAAGAATCAAAGAATTCCTTAGTTCACCACATGCAGAAACTACCGGAACATTTTTCGCGCCGCCCACGCAGAAGTCCACGAGGAGGTCACACGTCCCTCCCCTTTGTTTTAGGCGTGGTTAAGGGGCACTTTAAGGTCCAACTGACCTTTCTCAGTAAGAGCAGTACCGTTTGTTCGGTTGAGTTTTCGGGTCTTTGCAGTAATAAAACTATTTTATACGGACCCAAGATAGGTTGAGGACCGCCCAGCTCCGTGCGCCTTAGCGACTCACCCGCAGGAGGTCGAGCGCATCCGTCAACGCAATGAACCCGCGCTATTCTTGTTAGCCGGGGAGACCATAACAACACTCCCTACCGACTCCCATCAGTCCGATGCCCCCACAAAATCCCTGTACTCGCGCCCAAGTCATCACGCAAATAAGTCGGTTAACCAATGCGAACCATGCCTTTGCCTGCGGAGGCAACCCCCCGCTAAAGAGGTAGTGGGCGTCGTGACTTGCAAGTCAGTATGTCACGTGATCTTTCGCATATATACGCGGTTAATAAAAATTTAGTCTAAAATGTTGGTATAAAGACCCACTAAAGTATAAAATTTGTGTTTTCTATACTGTTAACTATCATTAATTAATAATCACTAATAAGCAATTATTACTTATTACAAAAACACACACAAATCCCCGTCCCGACGCGGATAGCGGGGATACCCGGTCGGCGGTGACACACTAAGTGTGCGAACCCTCGTCATTGCCCCTCAATGTAAGCTACCTTCCCCCAACTGCATACATTAGCCTATCAATTGACATAAGGCCAAATGTCAATGTAATTTATTTCTGAAAATGTCTAAAAAAAATTTACCCCAAAAATGTCGTCCTAATGTCCAATGTTGTATAAAAATTTTATTCTTGCTCTATCATATCACACCCAATCTGACATCTGCATTCGATATTTGACGGACTCAAAGAAATACCAGAATTTTAGATCCGATCAAAATTACCAAAGGAAATACCATCTCTCATCCTTTCTGTTTCTATGACCCACCAACGCCACAATTAAGTACACCACATCTCTCTCTCGTGTAAACCACTTCTCGTACTCACCCCTAACCGACAACCCGCCATCTCAAAATCTCCTCCCTGTCTAACCCAACATAAGCACTTTAACCCAAGCAACCTCAAAGCAAGAACCACTACAACAAGACAACAGAATGTCCACTGTGAATTCCTTGTTCTGCAACACGACCACACCACACGACACCACCATATCCCACACGCCTCCCGTCACCCACAAAACATAGTGCGAGGTGCAACAACACTAACAGCTAGCGAACATATTAGACAGAGAGCGTTGATCGATTATTTGGTCTATTTATTTACATTCATTTGTATGTTGCCGTTTATCGTGCACCCATTGAAAAACTGTCCAGTATCACATTAGCGTGGCGTGGGAAAAAAATTAGGGGAAGCCAATAATACATCCTTTCTTTTGGGTCAGGGGTGTGGTGTCAAGGTTAACGTAACCAGATGAGTGATTACAGCACCCGGTATCATTTTACACACATTTGTATCATACAGATGCAGGACTTACACACGCCTGTTATCTAACCGACAGGTCCGCAAGCCCTCTCCAGCCGAAACTCTAATAAGTATTCATTCACAAACTAAATCAGGAGACCTTTAACGATTTACGTCCGATTCGCTCCTTTTTTCCTCGCTGTACACAGCCCCAGTTTGGGCATTGGCCTGTCATCAGATTTTATTTGTTGTTGCTGCTGTAGCGGAAGTTTAGTACAATTATTTTTGATTAAATACTCCACCCTCCATAATTGCACTTGCTTCAGTAAGTTGCTTGCTACTTTCTAACGGCGGTGAGAGTGGTGCAATCTAGATTTAAGATTCGAATTTATATTATATTTATATATTTATATTTTATAATATTGTGTGCAACCATAAACAGTTAACATACAATAAGATTTAGCATTGTTGTTTACCTTTAAGGATTATTTAATTGATTTAAAAAAGTAAAACTGCTATTTACTTAAGTCAATGAGTTATTATTTGACCATGTATTAATGAGAGTTATTACAAAGTGTTACCCAGGAGTGATGTTGATTCTCAGGCTCACCTGTGGAGCTTTTCCTTTTGTAGGACACTCGTCTCCGACACTCATTGTCCTCCATATTAGAGTCAGCTGCTTGGAGGCCTGTCGCCTGTAAAGGGACAATGTCTGATCAGGAGCACGTTAAATATAACGACACATACTTATGCACATGTGTATGGGACATAAATATATTTTCTGTGTCTGCATAGGGAAATAAATAACTAGCCAAAGTCACCTCTACTCCTACTTCTACAATAACAACCTAACAGACTTAAATGTGCCACACTTTCTTCATTGTGTCAGGAACACAAAAACTGCTTCCACGTTTGTTGGAGCACCATCCTGTTTTTAATTAATCCTACGAGAAGCTTCTCCTATGCCTGCCTGTCTACTTTACACTCAATAAATAACGGAAAGTGAACTCCTTGCTCCGTTTTTAAAGATAATTAAAACATCTGAAAGATGTGTGTTCATGTTCATGCCTCAGGCCTAACACATCCTTCCACTTCACCCATTTCATCATAATTACAGTCTACATCATGTCCACCCCACCCTAATACTCTCTATCTCTCTTTTCTAGCAGCCAATGGCAGATTAAAGAAAATGTCTAAATTGGCTCGTGTGCTTTCCTTCCCACGACCATGAAGAGAATGATTAAGAAAGCCTTTCATCCAATTGAAATGGACATGGCATGGATATGGTACATGGAAATTATTATTTAATTCAAGTAAATCTTCTCTACTAGGATTGTACAGTCAATTGCAAAGATTGATTTGACATAAAAGCCTCCAATACACTTCACTGCCTCCTTGAGTGTTATAATCAGAGACAAGAATTGATCCCCATGCTATAACCTTGTCATCACGGAGGTCAAAGGTCAGCTCCAGATTTTTGAGGAATTGGTCTGCGAACTCTGGATACATGTCGAGCACCTCCAGGATCTCCTCCCTCTGGATGGTGTGGAGGTCGCAGTAGCTCAGCGCCCGCACGTCTGCACAGGATTTCCCCGACTTGGAGAACAGATGGATCATCTCGCCAAAAATGTCGTTCTTACCTGATGGGGGGGGGGGGAGGGTTAGCAATAAAAAAAAAGTTACTGACTACTCATAGATAATCATATAGAGTGTTGCAGTGATGATGTAATGTTGTAGGCTGACCCAAAAGTTGCTAGCCTTCAAGTGACAAAAAGCAATGCTTTTTGTCAAATGGATTTTGGAAACTTGCAGAAAATAAGCTGGACTCAATCCTGCCCTAAGCTGTTCTCTCTTCTCCGTCTATTCTTGGCTTCTTAAGTAACAACACCTATAGTTGCTAGGAGATGATGTAGTTGGACAGTATTTGATGACCTATAAGGAGACGCGCCACCTGACAGAGGAGCGTGAGTATGTTAAAGAGGCTAAAGGGCTTCACAGTCATCTAAAAAAGGATTTACACAATGTGTCCGCATGGAAGTCACACAGGCCAAACATTCCTGCCTCTGTTTAGTGTGTAATGACCTACATGGAATGGCCACGGGGTTTACAGTGCGTGCTGGAGTGCAGTATCTGTCAGGTCGGGGATCATCTATCTAACAAAGTATTTTCTACTCTTTAATACTGACCTCTTTGGCGTTTCATAAAGAACGGCTCTGCAAATAAATACATATTTGACCAGGTCTTATAAATTAGGAAATCTTCACACACTGATATGTATTTAGATAGTTGGCAGAGGGTCACGATTATCATGCTCAAAGCATTGTCACATGACACTTACTACAACTGGAGTATTGGCACGCTAGTGTGACAATTGAATAATGAGCAGTTCCATTATTGTACTACAGAAAATGTGCAGAGTGAGGTGTGACCTACAACTTCCACATCCATGCTACTCGATCATCATGACCCTATTATGCCACGGCTTTTCGCCAAACCTTATTGGCTGCATGACAAGTCATTAAAAGGAAACTAATGAATGAAAGGCTTGGAAAGAGTTTCCTGCAGGCTGCGGAAAGGTGGATGGGTTTTGATTTTCATGTCGATATTCATTGGCACCTGTTCTCAACCACTGCATCCCACCACAGTGACAACCATGTGACACCCTCACTTACTTCCTCTCTCCCTCTGCCACTCCACTTTAACTCTCTTCCTCTTCTTTCCCTCTCTTTTCTTCTCTCCGCCCACAGCTCTCCATCCCTCCCTGCTTCTATCACCATCCATCTCCATTTGAAAGCAATCATGCTATCTCTTTTTTCCTCCACACAGATCCTCTGTTCCCCTCGTGCCACCATGTGTCCTCCCCCACTCTTCCCTGTCCTCTCCCTTCATCTGAGGCACGACTGTGAGGCGGCAAGCAATCACCGTGTTCTTTGAAGTGACTTATTACAACATACCCACTAGGGATCGCAGCTTCCAACTATCACAGCACAACGGAGCCATCTTCATTTTGTTGGCACATCTCGGTCTGCTCTAATGGAGGTGAGTTCAGGCAAAGCTAGCCAGGCTCATGAAAGGACTTCTGTGTTGTTAGTGGAAGGGCTTTTGAGTAGCGTACTGGCTCAACAACAGCATTGGCTGGGTTAATTAGAAGTGTGTCTGTGAATGAATGTCACTTAGTTTATTCATTACTCAGCATTGGTATTCCTTCCATCCTGCAGACTGACAAACTGCTGGATGTTTTTTGAAATATCTGTGTGTACCAAGAATACCTAGCTTACAGTGGCTGAATTCACAGATGCATGCTAGATATAATGCCAGGGCCAAAAGGCATGAACACACGTATTAATTAGACAGAAGAAAACATACTAACTACTGAGTCATAGTGAAAGTGTACAGTAGACCCACCTAGGATGGCCACCACAACGTCATCTTTGAGGATTTCGATGGAGCCGCGGGACACAAAGTAAAGGGCAGTAAGCACATCTCCACTGTGGACGAGGGTGTCTCCAGGGGGGGCATGGGTGGTCTTGAACCTCATGGCCAGGGCCCGGAGGCAGCCCTTTGTGGCTCCCTGGAACGCCTTACAGCCCTCCAGGAGGTTCTTGTTGAGGTGGAGGCAGATATCGGCCTGCAGGCACTCTGGGAAACCCTTCAGGACCTGTGGGTCGAAGCGGACACGGTTATGTCATGTGGAAGAAGATATTATTCTTAAGAAAACGTCTTTAAAAGCTTTGGTGCGCTGGGATTTAGAATGTGTGTTGAATTGTGGTTTTGGGGTGAAGTTGCAGGTCAAATCTTTCCAGAGAAATGTAATACAATTGCCACTTGTGTTCTTTCCTTCTTCTCAAAACCTAACATACACTGCAGGGGAAACAGTCTTTCAACACAGTATGGTATGTGTAAAACCAAAAGGCAACACTATTCAATTTTGTCTCAAATAATTAATATTGAAAAAAAAACAACAACACTCTGACCCATGATCCGGTATTGGTTAACAAATAGAAATAATACATCTTCCAAGTTAGCCAAGGAGTACCTCAAGATATTTTGGAAGGATTATTGCCAGGTGTTATTTAATTTGCTTCATTCTGACCTTAATCTTGAAACTCAACATTTCTTTAAATGTTAATAAGATTTAAAAAACAATTCACATGTGGCTCTAATCGTCTTCTATATAAAATGAATCTATTTCTATACATTTATTTTTTTGTGAGGATATAAAAATAGACTTATAATACACTTAACCCTTTAAGACAAGGATACAGTGACCCCTGACAAAACAGCTAATGATCCCCGGACAACGAGAACTTTCTTTACAAACTTTAACACCATAACAGACACTGATAGGTGGAGAGGGCCTTCGAGGACACATAAGGGATATCCAAAACACAAAACACATTATCTTTTTCATTTACACATGAGATACAATGCGCTCGTGACAAGAGAACAGAAAAACAAATGTCGCCTCAACTGTTTCTCTGGCTCGGACAGGCTTTTACTGTATTTCAAAAACAAAATTACGGTAGATTTGGAAAGGAAAGACTGAACAACATTTGGCAAGCGCAGGTGCCACCGCGGAGCGTGCTGCCAAGCCTCCCACAGTGGGAGGGAAGGCTGGCAGCGCCCGGCGAGGCTGTGCCCACTCTCACAGGCGTGATTCACTCTGTCTCTGGTACCAGATGAATATCATGGGGTTGTGTTTGAATACATGCAAAGGGGACCTCGAGGCAAGCTACCGACAATAATGTGGCCTGTGTGAAACTTTAGTCTGTTGTCTGCAGCATGCAAACGTTGACACTGTCAATCTATGATGCAGGCTCACAGCTACTGTTTACAGTATGTGTTAATGTATGTACAGATAACACACTGAGGGAACAATTCCATGCGTGTTGGGACAATAAATACTAATATTAACACTGCAATGCTATGTTTTCTTTCTAAAAATGTAACATTTGAATACTAGTATCAAACACAGCTAGAGGAACACTCATTTCAACATTAGTTGCGTTAACACATGTACCTCCTGCTCTTACCAGAGTGGTGGGGTCATTCCATTAGACATGAGGCAGACATGGAAAAGACAAACTTATATAAGTACCTTGAACAGTATCATGATGAGCAAAGTCACTGTAGCAGTAACTGGGGCTATGGCTGAACAGTATGATCATGATGAATCATCTCACTATGTCAGTGACATTGCTTCACGATGGGCTAAAAGCATTTTCGGACAAGATATTGGACACTCATGAAATTGGAAAGAGAGAAGAAGCAGCAGAAGAAAGGAACAACACATTATAATTTGTTACCATTGTGAAAATGTTAAGTAAAAGGCAAACACAGTCCTCTCATACCATGTTCATGTCGATGCCGTTGGTGTATGTCCAGGCGTGTTGGAAGTACTCCTCCAGCCTCTGCCTCAGGGGGTTTGGGATCTGGTGGAAGCGGATGAATTCTTTGACACGTAGCATCTGCAGGTGATACCTGGCCGTACCTGAGTACAACCTCTGGATGATGGCGGACACGTTCCCAAAGATGCTGGCGTACATTAGAGCTGGGAGAGAAGCCATACAGGTGACGGTTGAGCTGGCGGCTAAAGATGCACATACAGTTCCCCCTACTTCCTCTCTTAATACCGCACAAAACCATGTTCCTGCTGCCACATGACTTCCTGGGTATAACATTATCTCAAGGAAAGACCTACCCGGTTTTATGTAAAAGTTTTAACACGCTGGGAATGCAATACATATTACCGGGGGGGATGGTAGTACATTTAAAACACACCTTAAGCCTAGCCCTAAACCCTACTTTCAAAATGATCATGTTTAATTTTGCGTATTTAGCTAGAAAAATTACAGTTTGAGGCTTCCTCAATAAAACCCTAATTCCAGGAGGGTTCTGTTCTAACAGGATTAAAATACTACATGTACTGGGACGCAGCTGTCACTCACATCCGATGAGCATGACGCAGATGGAGAAGATCTTCTCAGAGTTGGTGTTGGGGGAGACGTTCCCAAAGCCCACGCTTGTCAGACTGCTGAAGGTGAAGTAGAGAGCGGTGACGTACTTATCCTTGATGGAGGGGCCTGAGCTGGGGTCACTGTAGTTGTATTTCTTCCCTACAATAAGGAAAAATGAAACAGTACATACATATTTGACCACATTTGTGTTTGACAGCAAAAGTGACATTACATTTGAATGATAAAGAGAGCCCTTATAAAGACAAACTTTCAAAAAAGTATAAATGAATATCTGAAAATAATAACCTTTCTTCTTTCTCATTATAATGAGTAACAGGATCTTTCTTTTTCTTCACAAAGCCACGTTTTCATCATATTATTTTTCTTTTACTGGTGGAAATGAGCGTCTGTACTAACCCGCTTAGTTTCAAATTCAAACAAAACAAGGGAGTTCACCTATGGACACCCCCAGGTTGTCCAGCCAGCCGATCTTGTGCTCCAGGTAAGGCTTCTCCACGTTTCCAATGGCGTACCAGATGCAGGCCAGCCAATGGGCGATGAGGGCAAAGATGCACATGAGCAGCATGAGCACGGCAGCTCCGTACTCTGAGTACCGGTCAAGCTTACGCGCCACTCGCACCAGCCGCAGGAGGCGGGCCGTCTTCAGCAGGCCGATCAGAGTGGTGGTCTGCGGGTGAGAAGCATAGAAGTTCAGGATTTAGTTTTAAGGAGTCAATGTGTAAATGTGCTAACATGTGTGTTGTCCCTCAGGCTTTTTGGCCCTCTTGCCCACCATACCTACACAAAGGGTTTTTGGATTGTGGGCTCTTCCTCACCTACTTATGTGTAGGACTCCTACATCTGTTTACAGTCTACATATTCAGGTATTCATTTATTATAAATATAGAATGTATTTCATTCCACTCAATCAGAAGTTATATCCAGTCAATCCTCACATCAATTCATAAATCTTCACTCTGTGCAAGACACTGCCTTATACAGTTTAAGATAGTACACATATTTCAAAGGCTAAACTGTCCAGCTTCTTCCCAGATGTGAACCCTACTTGCGATAAATGTAAAAACAATGTTGCTACCCTCTTTCATATGTACTGGCTATGCCCCCGCCTACAGGAATTCTGGGGAGACGTTTTCCTTACCTTGTTCAACATCCTAAATCAAAAACAAGACCCGGACCCCCTGCTAGCTATGTTTGGTACAACCACTGTAGGTGTGCTGCACTTGACGCCCTCAGAACGCCGCATGATTGCCTTTTCCTTGCTTCTGGCCAGACGTGCAATTCTACTTAAATGGAAGGACGCTGCCCCGCCCACATGCAATCAATGGCTTCGGGACATAATGTCCTGCCTTAACTTAGAGAAGCTGCGCTTCTCAATCAGAGGCTCTGATGATAAATTCTATAAGACCTGGGGTCCCTTTTTGGCTTACTTTAATAAGACCAAAGTAACTTGATGTGGTTACTTGGCCCTTGACATGGAAACAGTGTGACTCTATTGTAATATACAATAACATATATTAATTATATTCTCTACTCTGGACAATGTGCTATATAATTAGTTTGATCATCCACTGGAATGGGGAGGGATGGGGAGGGATGGGCCATCTAGTGGTGTTTTTATTTTCCTTTTTTCTATAAAATTTCTAAACTTTTTTTATGTAATGCTACATGTTTGTACAACTCACTGCATTGTGACACTGTTTTGGCCAATTTGTGGGATTTCTGTGTTGAACAAGAAAATTAATAAAAATATTTTGAAAAGAAAATGTGTCAGTAGTTTAACAACTATTAGAATTTTAGTAATGTCTATGGAGACCAATTGGTTGATACGAGAAATAATTTGAAGCAGTTTAATAAAGAATGTTAAACTATATCTAAAACTGTAATTGAACTTCAACTTATATTAATGATCTGATTCCAGTGGCCAGTTGGAATAGATAATCAACAAAGTTTCCATTTTGAAGCAACAGCGCAAAAGGTTTCTACAATAATTAGTATTATGTCTGAGTCTAGTTCTGTCTTATCTGCTTTGTTTCGGAATTTGTTCAATACATTACATTTTTATTCATTATTACGATACAATACATAGATTTAAGAATAAATGAAACAAATAATTCAACATTGACCTAAAATAACAGACAGATTTTGCAACCCTGACCTCCTCATGCAGGTTTTTTTTTACGACCAGCAGTGATGCCTCTGAGGGTCTCGGGACGCAGGACGGGGCATAGGGTTTATACAAGGTCACAAAGATATCTTAATCTAGTAATAAACTGGTTTATCAAGATAGCTGGAGCCTCCCATTCCTTAAGAGAGATAACAGACTCAGGGTTGCTCATAAACGTCAACAGGCGAGAATCATTCCCTCACACTTATGGATTATCAGAAATAATTTCAAAGGGACACAGAAACATTGGATTAACTTCAGCAGCGTTTTTATAATTTTAACCTGTTTAGCCCTGAGCCTGTTTTTCAGGTCTCAGGCTCGAAAATGACATTCCCAGAACAAAAGACCATATCTTCCCCCTCTAAAAGGGTTACATTAATAATATTTTTCCTCAAAGTAATGATAAACCTGTGAGTTGGATGTAGAAGAGTCAGAACAATATAGATGTTTTTTATTTTAAAGAAGATTCAGATTGAACATAGTAAAAAACTGTAAATTATAGTGTCCGTCCAAAAAGGATTTTTTACTTATAGTGAAAACCAGGGACGTGCACAGACATTTTGAGGGGCGGGTGCTCAAGTGAGAAAAAGGGCACTTCCCATAATCATTTATAAAAAAATGTTTTAAAACAAAAAGTTAATATAGTTCACATCTCTGACTTACTGACCAATTTATTTAATACCCTCCACACTCACGTAATTGTTTAATACTCTACTTACAGAATTGGTACAAAAATAAATCAGCTAACACAGAGACAATAAGGCACTTCACAAACCAGAGTAGTTCGCGTTCAACACCACTTTCAGGGGAGAAAAAGGCTTCCCCATTTCTGCTTGGCTGCGGATTGCCAAACCAAATGACGCCCGTAAAACCCCAAAAAGTTTGGTGAAGCCGCCATTTTATTACTCCTCGCATTAGCAATTATTAGCAATTACATTGCAGCGCACAACGGAGAGAGACTACTCCCAGGGTTGCCAACTCCTCACACCCATCTGCATGTGACACACCGCTTCTAAAACTCTCAATCTCCACGCTTTTCACGCTGCCCAAACAATTCTCCACACTAAAATAAGAATACCGAAGACTAGAGAAATCGGTTTTGAAAACTTTTGTCACGTAGTGATCGTCTTCTCAATAGAGAGGCGAAGTCCTCCCTTCCGGGAGCATCCATGGAACCATTAATTGTGGAAAAATTATACATTGAAGTAGTGGGGAGAGAAAGGAATTATCTTTTGAATCCCATTTGAATTGTGGCCACGAATTACGACATACAGCCTATGATGTTTGTCAATTTAAAAAAATATTTCCACCAATGTCAAAGAAGTCAGCAGTTGTGTCGTAAAAACTGGTTGAAATATAAGACTATGAAAAATACCAGCAACTAGAAAGACTACAAAATCCCAGATCCCATTATGGGTTCGCGGTAAAAGTGATGTCATAGGCGATAATGCTCCAAGTTCTGGCGACTCGCAATTAAAGCAAAGAAGAAGAAGATGGTCATAACTGAATTAACTTCCCTCCAATAAATAGCCTTATAGAGATTTCCTCAAATAACATTAAAACTTTTACAAGATGCCTGTGTCTTTGTACCAGGTTGTAATCACAAACAGTAATCATCTCGTTGCTCGTTCTAATCCTTCCCGTACTGATGAAGGGACCAGGAAGTCGCTGGATCAAACATATCCAGGTAACATACACTGTTGTGCATGGATCATCAAGTTGGCTCCTAGCTAGTACGAGCACGTTAGTTAGCATTACATTAATTACTTAGCCTTGAATTTTTATTCAGCCTCAATATGAAGAAACTAAAATGTTAAACAGTAAGAGTAGTCCCATGATGGCAAGTATTTCGATGAAACATTTTGTCCACGGTTTGAGAAACACAGCAGAGACCCAAATGCAATATAAACTGAAACTTCCTTTATTTCAAGGTCTATATATCTCTATACAATGACAAACAGAACCTCACCGCAGAACTAGTCAGGGAACAAGACGAACCGACAAGAGCAGACAGACCAACCAGAACTTTAAATACCACCAAGACTCAATCACACAAACAAGACACAGGTGAGGAGGAGGAGAAAACACAGGGGCCAGGTGAATAATCAGACAATTAGACACACCAGGGAAAACTAATGACAAGAGAAACACAGGGAAAAGACCAGACAATAACGCCAAAGGAAAACATGGACATGGAAAACAGCAAAAAACACCCAAACCTACAAAACCTATAAACGTGACATAACATGAGAATTCCGTGACATAACCCCATCAGGGAGGATTCCAGATGTCCCAAAAAAAAATCAAAATCCAGCAGGGTGGGTGCAAGGGGTCTGGAGGACGGGTCTGGGGCGGACGGGGGGCAAGGCAGATGTTCAAAAAGGGAAATTTCGGGCCGGACCGGCCCGGGGGCAAGGCAAGAGTTTCAAAAAGGGGAATTTGGGCGACGGCCCCGGGGCAAAGGCCAGAGTCCCATGGACGGTAATCTCGGGCGGACGGCCGGGGCAAGGCAGAGTCGAGAGAGGGTGGAAGACCCAGACAGCTCCGGAGGCCGGTCCAGGAGCCGGTGTCGGCAAGATCCCACCCATGGAAGAGGACACAGGACTGGCAGGACCGCCGGCAGGAGAGCAAGTCGGCGGAATCCCCAACGCGACAGGAATGGAGTTGGCAGGACCCCCAAGCCCGGAAGAGTAGTCCCGGCGGGCTCCACGTGGCAAGACATGGAGTTGGCAGGACCCCGCAGAAGAGCAGTCGGCGGGACTCCAACGTGGCAAGACATGGAGTTGAGCAGGACCACCCGGACAGAAAAGCAAGTCTTGCGGGATCCCCAACGCGACAGGACATGGAGTTGGCAGGACCCCCAGCGGCAAGAGTAGTCCCGGCGGGAACCTCCCAACGTCCTGGCAAGATCAATGGAGTTGGCAGGACCCCCGGCCGAAGAGTAGTCCTGGTGGAAGGACCGACTCCAACGGCACACCGATCAACAACCGCGCACAGGACATGGGGTTGGCAAGGACCCGGCAGAAGAGCAGTCTGCGGGACTCCAACGGCTCAGGGACCTGGGGTTTGGCAGCGACCCCCGGGCAGAAGCCCGTAGTCTTGGCGGGACCCCTCCACGTGGACCAGACATGGAGTTGGCGTCCGGACGGACAGCCCATTCAGGACACGGGGAGCTTGGCGTCGGCGGACACGCCACCGGAGACGAGGTGCTGGAGGTCGGCCGGTAATGCTGACAGGACACGGGGAGCTTGGCGTCGGACGGACCAGCCCATCAGCGACACGGGGACTGGCGTGGGACGGACAGCAACCGGAACGGAGTGGCTTGGAGTCGGCCGGATGCTGAACAGGACAGGGCCATGGCAGTCCGGACGG